TATTGTTTTTTGTTACTGCTGTTTGCAGTTTAGTAAAAATACTGTTTAACTTTGTTATTGTTAAAAGGGTTCCCCCTCTATAATTATTAATAAATACATAAATAAGTAAATAATTTTCTGTCCAATGTATGTTTAAAAAGAATTCCTGTTTTATGTCTGCTTAATCCTGCAAGTACTTAACTTTAATAGAAAAAGCAACAAACTTTACCTACAAAAATGTAATTTGTGGGTGGAATTTAACAATCTTTTGCAGCAAAATGTAATAGAATGTAAATTCGTAGTTGACATGGCATTTTTATCGTTCGTCTTATTCTTTAAAGAATTTTAAGTGAAAACACTAAAATTAAGCTTCACGTTTTGCAAGTTTTATAAATAATATTATAAACAATAACGGATTTCGGTATAATTGACGTACGAGCATTGGCTACCAAAACAAGTAGGTCAATTTTATTTGAATATGCCAACAAGTCATTGGCGATACTTGTAACCAACCGTAAAATTGAAAAATTTACACATTTGCATTATAAATACGTGCGAGTTTACCTGTACGTTGGTCTCGTGTACATTCACGAGGCAAATTTTTAAAATGGAAACAGTTAATTACAGTGGAATTAACCTGAAACTAAAACAGGTGATTAATCTCAATAGCGGATGTTAATACCGATAAGTAAAGGTAAGTGTAAGTATCATCACAGTTTTCATTTGAATGTCCTGAAACTGCATAATCTTGTCTTTGGTGTTACTGCCTTGCTTATTTAGAGTAGTCTTACCTGCAAAGCTCTATCTGAATTCTCGATAAATTTCTTTGTCAAGATATTCTCAAATGATTTTTAGTACATTTCCAAAATTATGTGAATATGGTAGAGCCAATTTTATGACATACGCATTACTTGTTTCTGTTACGCTATCAGCACCTCATTGTAATTGTTTCTAACACTTCTTAGACTGCAAAATAAATTAAAAGAAAACTTTTTCTAGTCTATGAGGAGGGAGGACGTTATTCGAACCCATTGATACACCACTAATATATGCAGATATTCAACACCTATTAGTATGATAGATCTGCATATGCAAAAATATTCAAAAGTGATATTTTGATTAAGATTAGTAAGTAAAAGTCAATTATAAAATATTCACATTTCACGTCGTTAATTTACGAATCTACTTCCTGAATCGTACCCAAACAGATCCAATATTAATGTAGGATTTCAGGTCAGAATTGAAAAAAAAAAGATGTGAAAGTATAAGTGGCCGAAATTGAGGACAGTTTGTGTGTGGAACAAGTCCCGTTGCTGCCTGCCGGTGTAAACTATCTACTTTATTTATATATCATTATTTTCTCTTCAATGGTTCATAATAGCAACATTAAAGATTTAAAGTTTGATCTATCAGCAGCAGCAGAAAAATAAATCGGACAGAATGTAATTCACACCCAACGAAGATAAAGAAAAATTGCAATAGTTTATGTATGCTTAAGGTTGGGTAAATTACCCAATTATATTTTCGTTTTTGTTTTATTAATCGATTAATCAGAATAATTCAAACAATCGACTATTTACGTTAATCGAAACGATGATTATTATTAATCAATTTTATTCATCAGGGAAACAATTACTCGATGGTAATACATTTTCTGGGTGGGATTGAACCCAAACATTTTACTAATGTGTTTATTTGATCTAAATAAAAAACGAAAACGGACAGACAGATACACGAAT